TTTTTGTTAAATTTTTCTCAGTGGTTCGTTTTTAACTGTGTTGACAAGAGTCAAACATATTGAGACAAATTCCTCAAGAAGTATATTTCAAATTTATCTAGCACGTCTTTCGTTTTAACCCCTCCTATTCGTGATAATTTAAATGCCTTCATTTCTTAAATCATCACAAAACTAATACATTGATGATCTGCCAAACGACCATACTATCGCAGCTCCTACCGACTGGACGGTTTATTTGCTACAATCACCAAAGTAAAAAATACGAAATTCCACTTGATGTATTATTAAGAAAAATACTTCTATGAAAAATTGCGGGTAACGAGAAGGTCGATAAGTTATCGGTCATGATTGATTATCACACGCATACTTATATTTTGAAATGAATACTGTTCTTCCCGTATCATAAAGTAATTGACGATATCGAGCCAAAAATGAGCGAAAACGTGGAACGCCAAAATAAGATTAAAAATGTTGTCCCCCCGACGATCTCATTGGTCTTGAACAGCTCGCGACAGAGCGAAAATTTGAAGAAGTGCACAGAATAGCATGTCAAAAATGAGACGAAAACACAATGTGCTCTTCATATTTACCATCAAAGCACTTTGAATTGAAATTTAAATCCTACCTGGTAACTGGGTTCGTTGTGCTTTACCTACTAATTGACGAGACGTATCAATCTTGGAACAGAAACTGGCATCAAACACGGCTAACTCGTATTTTACCGGATGAGCCCCAAAAGTGCGGTATTCAATTTCCGACGTAGGAAGGAAATTTATGAGAAGGCATTCAATTCAACTGTCAACTGTTGTTTGCCTTACTAAAAACCACTGTGTTATTTTAAATAGAGCATCCCAAACAATTCCTCTGCCGCACCTGCTGTTTTTTAAACAGAAAATTACCTACTGCATGTTCTTAATTGTTTCTTAAAACATCACCGCTTTTAACGCTTTTTAAATCTTTGAAACATAGTAAACACAGAAGGAAAGTTTCCGGTAGTAAAAGTAAATTTTTAATGATATTTTTCGGTCAATTACCCGATGGATATTCAAGAACGTAGCTGACCTGATCCTGTTAAGTCAGACACAGTAGGTAGAGACGAAGTGCAATCTTACAAATGTGTAGTAAACAACATCATTTGTGTGCGGGCACTCCAAAATATCAAAGAAAACCGTCCGAAGAATTGTTGATGCCCGCGTTATTCTCGTCGTTTCTGACAATTCTTAAGTCCATAGACTTTAATTAAGCAATAAAACCATACTTATTATCGGTTTACCGGCTGATAAATCACGCAGGATGTTGGGAGAATACGAGAAAAGTTTGTAAAGAGCTGTTATAGCCTCAGCTTGAAGCTTTAGAGTCCATAACATAATATATCCAATGAAAGCTGAAATCGCGGCCAACAACGGGAATTACCATAAATCTTGAGTGCATATTCAGTTTGCAAGTGGTTTTCGTTCTCATCAGAAAACAAGATTTTCTTTAACACTAAAAGGAGGAGTGCCCCAAGGAACTGAGTTGGGTGTGATTCTTTTCACGGTGATGTTAAACAGACTTCTGTCCGACCGGCGGCTGCGCATTCAATATATTGATGATACCAGTGCTCTCGAAATAATTTCAAGGATTTCCCCTAGCTTACTCAATGTTGTAGCCTCAAACATTCATTATTTTGCCATTGCTCATAATATGAATCTTAATCCAACTAAGTGTAAAGAAATGCATATTAATTTTCTACGCAACTCTAATTGTCTCATTAACCCCATATTAATTGGCGGCAACGCCATCCAGTATGTCAATACCTAAAAGATCTTAGGAGTTATTATAGACGGTGACCTGAAGTGGAACTGTCATGTTGATTACATTAAGAAAGCTTGTAATAGGTTATACTCCCTTAGAGTACTGCTCAGAGCCAGGGTGTGTCAATCTAACATCCTGAAGATATGTCTTAGCAGAGTCCGGCCAGTTTTAGAGTATGCTGTACCTTCTGGCAGGATATTCCTGCCTATCTGTCCGAATCCATGGAGCGAGTCCAAAAAAGGGCACTTAAGTAATATAATCTACCCCGAGGCTGAGTCATATGCTTATGCCTTACAGCTGGGTAAATTAGATAGGCTAGATGACAGAGGAGTAGACCTGTGCTATAAATACATGGCAAAAATGAAGTCCCCCAGCCACCCACTGCACCATCTGCTCCCCAGCCCACTCCTGCATGCACCTAATTACAACTTAAGGCAGAAAACACAAAAGTACTATCTCTTCCGAAACATTCAGATATGTAGGACAAAGAGAACGGAGGACTTTTTTACATTGAAATATTTTAAATGATTCAATTGTTATTATCATTGTTATGGTCGTAAATTTTTAGTTTTTAGATAATAGTTGCCTTAAGATTGTAAAATACACTCGATAATTCAGATCCTTTACTTGCAGAGAGTTTAATAAACTAGTCATTCATTCGAATGAAAACCCGGTTTGACGCTACAATGTTCTTGAAGGAAAACATGGGAACTTTTCCTTCTCGTCGAGTAGTTTGTAGATGAGAATTTCACTTTAGTGTCTAATGATAATTCGAAAGCAACGAAAAATTAATTGAAACCGTCTTCCTTCTATCTCATTTCCGATACAGATTAAGGACCTTTCTCCCTCATTCGATTCGAAGTTGTACGTGAATAAATCCTGGTCGCACTTAAAGGAAATTCCAAGTTATTTGAGTTAAAGAGTGTTGATACCTCATATCTTCATATTTGTTCACTTAAGTATCTCTTAACCTTTCTGAGTTCCCAATTCAACCTGGCCACATGTAGATTGCCCGATTTCAGACTGAAACGTTAACAGTTGGAGAATACATTTTAAATATTTAAGCTAAGGATCAAGGGAAATGTCTACTTGAAATATACGAGATGAAATGTTCCTTGTGATCCGATTGGCGCAGGTGATTAATTTCTGACCTTGCAACGAAGGGTACTTAGTATGGGTGAAGATGCTACTGTTGTGCAACACAGCTACTGTGATGGAGAGAGAGACCATTTGTTCATTGGACTGCTTTTTATTGGGGAAGAAGAAAGTGGAAAACAACTCGATGAACACTCTGTATGGAATGGCAGGATTTTTCATTAACATTATAGTGTTTTGTCGATGGATTCGGTCCTTGCCCTCGTCCAAACTTTTACTTTAGCCTAAAACTTCATTTCAATTGATTTTCCTTTTTTTCGGTCTCGTTGAACTTACAGGAGTCTATATCTTGATGAAATAAACGTTATGTTATTGCATGAGTTGGTCCATCTATGCAAATTTCGGAGTTGTTTTTTATTATATTCCTTCTTCTATGGTAACATCATGAAAATGTCACTTAAAATCTAGAGGTTCACTATGTTACGCATGCTTAGGCAGAGTGGTCTGTCGTGTTTATGATTATGGTGAACGGAGAACAATTCCTTCGAATCATAGTCAATCTACTCTATGTTACTGATTTGAGAATTTACTAATACAGAAGTTCACTGTTTACTTTGTTTTCTACTTAAAATTTATTCTAATCTCTATTTTTATTGTGCCTGTTGACCCATATAGCTTTCCGAGCAAGTTTAAGAACGACATGTTTCGTTTGCTTTGCGTTCATGATACTTGGACGCATGAGTTGTCTCTTACCTTTTTCACACAGTCATGAGACAAAAAGCCACAATCCAGAAGATGTCTGTTTTACCATAAAACACTTGTTGTTCCGAGCGCTGTACTAAACGTATTTTCATGATGCAATTGTCTAAGTGTTGAAACATTTTTTACGATTATCATAACAAAGTGGCCGCACCCGTAGCAAAGCATGTTTTCGTCATTAAGGTACTTTGCAAAACAAAGAAAATCACCTCTGTAACGGAATTGTTAATGATTGACAATGAAAGAGTCATAGTAAGGCCAACCGTGAAACAGCGAAATAACCCCAAGTGCCAAAACTCGAAGCTGTATGATTTCAAAACCTCTCGGATGTCCTGCAATAATTGATCAAGACGACATTTGTAAACTTTCGTAATGCGCACGGGTCAGCGGTTCTCTGCTTTTAGCAGGTTGTCATACATTTTGCCAAACGGATCGTCCGTTGGTGATGAGCTAGCCTTTCTTTTGAGGTTACAGGATGATACTTGCATTTTACGACTAAAACTGTCATTACGAACTAATTGCAACAATAATGTGGTCAATCGCAAAAAAAAAAAAAAACCTTGAGGCTGCTTGCTCTGTGAGCTACTGGGAGGTACTGTTTTCTTTGCTTATTCTAAACGACCTCTGTGTAATTCAGAAGCAAACACTTCTGGATTAGACGTAAAATAATCCGTTGTCTTCTCGTAATCCCCCAAGAAAAGCAGTGTGGGTAATCATTATGTATTTAGAAGGGCAAATAGCTTCCCAAAGCTCAAAAATCTCGCGCTGTAGATAAGATAATCTGAGTACACATATTGCGTTTTGCAATATGTGTACTAACATGATACTAATATGATAAAGTACGTCAAGTCAGTAAATGAAGTAACTTTATGTCTCGCTCGACTTTCACCGCTCTGAAATATGATCTGGTAATGGTACAAGGCTTAAACGAGAAGACCACCTTGCTTTTGAAATTGGGTCACAATAACAGGCATCATGCAAGCATCGAAATCAAGAGAAGACGCGAGGAGTAACTATTGTTATTTTTTTTGTACTAGTAGCACTTGGATAGTAACTGTAAGGTGAGCTCCTGAGCCGACGATAATATATTTAACTTTTCAAAAATATGCATCTTAATAATGATATGAAACGAAGATAAACTCGTTTTTTAGTTACCTGTTCTTAAAGTAAAAATTATGTGACGAATGTATCAAACTTCAGAGAGAAATTTATGTCTACTATTGTAAAATCTTACATAGTGTAGCAGTAACGATCTATCCAAGAATCCCAAAATAATGAAACGAGTTTTAGCAAACTTTAGAAATTTTTTTTTTTATTTCACTTGAAATTGTTAAAATAAAATGTATCAAAAC